AAAATATTGAATCATGACACAAAAAGGAAAATTTTCCAGGTGTGTGTGATGCCTAGAAGCATAAGCTCCTTAGGTAATTTTTTGTAGAATATTCCATTCTTGCAGTCTGACCTGGAACCTCATAGCTCAACCTGCTTTTTTAAATAAATCTCAGCTTTCTAAGGAGATAATTTTGTTATGACTGTGAAATTAAGCAAGACATCATTGATGGACAAGACTGAAAACCTGGATCCATAAACTTAAATTCTGCAGTTGGTTTGTTGTCAAAATCATCACTTGATATATGTACATATATTTTTCTTGTCAGTGTTGAAATAGATCTTGAAGAAATAGGGTTGGAGGCTGTGGACTGGTGAAGGACCAGTGATGGGCTTTTGTGAAAACAAGTGAACGTTTTTAGTCCATAAAAGGTAAGGAATTTCTTGACTACCTTGAGTGATAATGTCTTGAAGAGTGTTTGACTTGATGGTGTTAGTTGTGGGTTATGGTCTGTGCAATTTAAATTTTCAGTTTAGGTGCGCAGGTAGGTGAAATGATTGGGTGAGTGGACAGAGTTAGTAAACGCAGTGAAAACCTCAAATTCTATATAGTCTTTACATTACTTATGGGTGTATTTCATTTAGCAGTAGCACCAATCTTGAAAAAAGATATTAATAATTATATTTTATTGACTTGTGAAATTTAATCGGTGAGGTGTCAAGAGTAACAAAGCCCCCACTTTATTTGTTATGCTTTATATTTGTCCTTTTGTGCAATAGTGACTGTGGTATTTTGGCCCTTTTCTTTTGTTGTTGGCATATGAATTTTTTAAAATAAATTTAAAATGAGAAGAGTACTGAAATGTTGTAAATTCTTGCATTTATATTGCCTGTCCTTTTTGTTATTATTTTATAGCAGGGTATTTTTTTTAATCATGGGTCGAAATATAGATATGTTTTAAATCCGATACATCCTTGTAAATGCTACTGTCAAGGAAGATACTGAATTAATGTAAATTATTTTCTAATTTATTTCACTGCAGGAAGGCAAATACATAAGGTTATCAAATTCTATATAAAACAAAAAACCGTGAGTTTTTATTACTTTAGATGTTAATTTAAACAAACTTATATAGAACATTTAATTACAAGTCGTTTAAAGAAGATTCTCAGTCATTAATTTTCAACACAGAAGGTCTCATGCTAAATACACCATCATAACACAATTAACCACGCGTCCTAATGTTTGCAATTCTGGGCAACCAAATCAGTGATCACCTTAGACATTTGAAGAGCCCAAGTAATTGCTGCCTACGAGTAAGTGTTCACACTTCACTGTGCTTACAAGTCAGGCTCACTATAGGATATAATGGGTTAATTTCTTACATCATCTGATTTTGGAATAGGTACTTGACTGATAATATAGAAGTGCACTCGTTGTAGGTCTTCTTGTGCTAAAAGTTCTGATTCATGCTGTCATTGCAGTACTAGATATAATTAGCAGTACTGCCTTTCCTGTGGATGAGCCAGGATAAGTATAGTGACTAGCTACGGGCTGGACGACCGGGGTTCGATCCCCGACGGGGGCAGAGGATTTTTCCTCTAGCCTCTGCGTCCAGACCGGCTCTGGGGCCCACTCAGCCTCCTCTACAATGGGTACCGGGGTCCTTTCCCGGGGGTAAAGCCGGCCGGGTGCCGACCACCCACCCCCATCTAGTGCCGGGGTCAAGGAAGAGAGGAGCTATACCTCCTCTCACCCCAAGCGCCTGTATGGCACGTAGCAGGACAAACTTTACTTTACTGCCTTCCCTGTGTACCCTATGCTTTATTGGGTATGTGTAGTGTTTCTCAATGACCAGACCTCAGAGAAAACGAAAAGCATCATTACTTGAAATTAACTCACATTTTTAGAAGTTCTAGTAAACAAAAAACAATGCAGAGGTGAGACATGTAAAATAGTTTTAATGGTTATTAACATATTACATGAATTGCATGTATGATTTTTTTTTTTTTGTGATTTGTTTTATATATTATTTCTGACATATTAGTGTCATTCAGATTGTTCCATTAGTGGAAGTAAATTTAGAAATCCTTCAGGCATTCATATGACACAAAGAAATGAACAGAGTGGAGCAACAAGGAAATGGGGTAGAAGAAATAACAGATCTGCATATGTCATTGTTTTCTCTTGATACCAGAAAGATAAATGAAAAGCAAATTGTAAGATTTAATTTTGTTGACCTGTTGTTTTATTTCTAAGATAACCCCAAAACACTTCCCAAAAATATTATCACATAAACTCCTACTATACTGAACAATATATACAAACATTATTAATGCCAAAAGATCATATCATACAATTGACTAATTTGCAGGATAAGATTCATAAGATTATTTTGGTTGACAAATGTGCCATTTTAGTGTTCATGTGGACTAATGTAATTATCTGTATCCTTATGTCAACCTACAGTAGCATTATGCCCTTCTGATATGACATACATCCAAATTTTATATTGTCAGACTAAATATCTCCATTTATGTGAAGATGTTGATATGCCATCTGTCATGACGCCATCATTATGGTTAAAAACTACAGTTTCATTAAGAATTATTCTTTCAGATTTTTATGAATATTTGTTGTTTCTTGGCTCTACAACCCAGTTGTAGGTTTTCACCGCCTCCTTTTCGGAGATTTCTTGGTCTTGAAGTGTGCATTTATGTGTAGTGAGTGACCAGCCCACTGACTCTGCACAATTTCAACTCAATCCTGATTTGACTGCCAGAGCCATCTAGCAGTTAATCAGGAGACTTGGGTGAGAAATGGCTGCTGAATTTTGCTGACGAAACATCTCGTATCATGCTCATAAGTTTCTTTTACATGCCGTATATCTATGACATGAGACCGCCGGCTTTACTTCCCCTTCACCGGTATTGAACTCATGAACCTTGGGTCCAATGGCCAGCACGCTAACCACTAGTTCACAAACGGCGACAAAGATGTATGTATGATATATATTTCTGATGATGTTACTGTGTAAACCCATTGCCTGTCATGGAACAGTGAAATTTGGTTTAATTTTGTTGTATACAAAACCAACTCATTGATGAAACTGAAGCAGTAACGCGTTTGGTTCATTGGGTAATTTTTATTAAAGTATGCAATGAGTTACAAGAAATTGTCCCTCCACAAAATTAGCTATTCCTATAATGAAAGAAAGTGCAACAGCAAGTTGAGAACACAATACAAATACAATTAGAAATACAAATGCAAATTGGTTTCTTCTATTTTACATGATAGGTCATGAAACAATTCTTGTCTTTGGTTAGACAAAGAGCTTTGTCACACTTGTTGCATTTTAGCCTAGATGCAAAAGTTACACCTCTGTTTGTTTTCAATGTGGACAGGCCAGTGACCAACAATGTCATACCTCACATCGTCCACTGGCCTAGGTACAGTTGCTGCCCTCTTTGGTGCAACTTTAGATGATGATGGGCAATCATTTGCTGACCAACCTCTTTTCCTTATCGTTGTATTCCCTGCCCTGAATAGAGCATGAACTACTTTTGAGCATGAATGACTCTGCACAAATTCTACTCACTCCTGATTTGACTGCCAGAGCCATGTAGCAGTGAAGCAGTGAACTAGGTTTATTTTCTGTTGTTACGATTCACATGCCCCCTCCAAGTGTTCATCTGCTTACTGAAAGCCGCTCCCCCACTCTTGCTACCACCAGATAATGATCAGTGTCACAATCTTCTCCTCTGAATGATCTGACATCAATTACATTTGTCTGCCTTCTGTTATCTACTAAAACATGATCTATGTAATTCTGGGCTGCCATCCGGAGAAGTCCAAGTGTATTTATGAACATAACAGTGTGGAAATTTGGTATTTTTTACAATTAGATATTTTGATATAGTACCTTTGTCATTACTAAGTACATGCAGACTCTCGTTACCTATTGTGGGTTTGTAAATGTCCACCCTCCCTATTTTTGCATTGAAATCTCCTAGCAGAATTTTCATGTGATACTTGCCAAATGTATGAAATACTGATCCCAATTCTTCATAAAAGCTATCCTTGATATCATTGCTTTTGTCCTCAGTTGGGGCATGAACATTAAGGACAATTATGTCGCACCAACACCCTTCCACATTTATTTAACAGACTATGAGCTTCTGTCATAGAATTGCACACTCAACTGTGAATTCAATAGTCATGTCAAACTACGAATCAATTTAGAATAAACTATCACCAGCAGAAGGAATTTTTAAGAATATAGCAGAAGAATTTTATTCGATGTGGCAATTCCCTACTTGCAACTGAGCTATTGACAGGAAACATATTGAAATACAAGCACCACATAATTGTTGATCCCTTTTCTTCGACTACAAAAAGATATTTTCTGTGCTTCTGTTAGCATTACATGTAATAATTTGTGTTGGTCGATACGGTAAGTCTATTGATGGATGTCTTTTCTCCAGGTCTGTCAATGTAAAATCTCTGGAACCAAATGCAATCCCCAATCGTAAGCCACTGTGTGAGAATGAAAAACCTTTGTAATGGTTGGTGATGAAGCAGTTCCCTGAAGAGGTTTATGCTCCGAACTTACTCAGGAATTTTAGCACAAAATGATGAGAGCAAATATACATATAATTACAGACTGTCAAGAGTACGCCGAGTTGTTGAGAATGCTTTCGGTATTTTTATTCAAATAAAGAATATTTTATGGCCGAATGCAACTGAGTCCTGAAAACAGAAAAAGTTATCATGGTACCTGTGTCTTGCACAATTATCTCAGAAATGATCGCAGTGTGGAAGGTTTTGGAATTGATGACAATGATCTACAGTACAGACACATTATTTCATGACATTTCATAGCTTAGGAGAAAAACTGAGCGGCAAATGTACAAGTGTAATTATCGAGATTACTTTGAAAAAGTTGGGTCAGTCCCTTGCGAATTGGAAGCAATAAGAAGAAGAAGAAGAACAGCTTTTTGAAAATAAACATATTTTGTTATGCTTACAATAATTTTATTATTTTGATCATTATTTGCTTTGTACAATATGACGTAGAGATGGTTGTGGTTGTTACAAACTGTCATGCATCTTTGCTTACGTGCAAATAGGAAAACATTGGGAACCACTGAGTTAGATGACTGGTTGCTGGGATGCTGCACCATGAAGTCTGGCATTAGTTCACTGATGTTTCGTAGGTGCTTACTGTCTCTATCCACAGGATGCTAAATGGTTGAGTTATGGGAACAGGTTTGACAATGTAGAATCCTTTGCTTTGGGCAGGTAAATGCTGTGTTTAATGGTGGATCTTCAGAATTCCAAATGCAAATAGGTAAAGGTTGGGAACCACTAAGATGATTGGTTGCTGGGATGCTGCACCATGAAGTCTGGCCTTCTCATTTTCTCTGCACAGCTGTGGAAATGGCCATCAGTTATCTGTCAGACCTCCCCAGCCAAATCTTCCAGAAGTGAATTGCCAGCCTTCTACTCAGCAGTGTTAAGAAGGCTGTCAGATCTCTGCTGGAAGAAGCATCTTTGATGTCTAACAGAAAATGGAAAGATGAAGGCCTCCAGTGTGCTCAGCAGTGGTTCCTAGGCCAATGACAAGCACCATAAGGGCCCAAACCTATACATTGGACCAACATCCAGCCAGTTTGATCGAAGGACAGTTGGGGAAATCTCACTACCATTGAAGAATTCATTAAAATTCGTCCATACCATCAAGTCCCTCAATGCTGGTCATGAGAACAGCCTTGACCTGATCAACTAATTCCCGCATCTGAACCCAATTTTTCATCCACAGCTTACTTAACGCCCTGATCATGGCGGCAGTAAGCTGCACTGAGATATTACTATAAAATTATACAAACACAGATCACAACATTCTATAGATTTAAACATCCACTGGTCTTGGAAGTATCTGTGCCAACCCTGTTTGAACAGAAGTTACACCTGCGATTTATTAGCGACTAATTCACTGTCTGTTGAAGAGTGCTAGGAAACATTGTTCTTCCTTCTCCATATTTTCCACTTTCTAATCCTGAACACATCAGTCCAAAGTCTCTTCCTTTCTTTACCCACTGAGGATAAATCTCTGGTTTCATCCACTTCTGTTGGAACATCTTTCTGTGCCTTGAAAATGAATACAACTTGTGTAAGTATTCTGTATTTCGCGTTTTACATCGGCTCACACCTTAGAGAACAGCAAAAGTAATTAATACCAACAGCACCGAATATATTAAAACTCTGTACATGGAAAGTGTTTCAATTGGCCAATCTCATAATGTCGTAACTTGAGGCTTCAGGAGAGACTGGACACAAATCTGTTTTTGAGTAGCTAATCCAACATCCTGTCCAGTGGACACCTGGTGTTCTTTTCCTGGGGTAAAGTGACCAGTTTGTGGAAGGGACACCACATCTTCAGAAGGCATCAAATTTAAGAATGTGTAGAGCGTACAGCCTTTCAAACTTAAATGTCTTCATGGTGTGCTTCTTAGCCACACAAACAACTTCACACCCCTTTCGCTCTTTACATGAAAGTAAATAATGCTGCTATCACAAGACCTGCTTTTTTACGTCACTTAATGCAATAAATGTTACATGCATGCACACAGCGAAGGGATGTATGAAGAGTGTTTAAATTACTAATCTCGTGATATCACGCTACAGTAAATTTAAATGATGTGGTATAAGGGTTATGACTCAACTATGCTGTTTATTCAGGAATTTCAGTGCACTTCATGAAATAAACTAAAGTTTTAAAATTAACTTGCCTGTAGGTCAACCAGACCCACTACCAAAACGAAGTGCTTAATGCTTAAGCAGTGTAGCCAAGCCTCTTGAACAAACTGAAATATTTCATAATTTTACCTGTACTTTTGTGTGGCTGTGAAATCTGGCTTCTTACTTCGTGAGAAGAGGACATTTCATAAGCGTCAGGTACTAAGTGTCTAGTAAAACGCCTGACCCTATGAGGGTTAAAGTAACCATGGAATAGAATATGTAACATAGGAAGGAACTTCTCAATTTATAAACGTCACCCACTTTCAGAAGAGCCAAATGAACGTGAGGGATGCAGAGAGAAGTGAAGACAAAATAGAAAGGGAGTGAAAGAAAGAAGACTGTGATAAATATTGTTACAGAACACAGAAACTGTGAGTGAACACTTGAAATGTAGAGGCTGTTCAAGTGATAATTTGTGAAATTCACTTCTTGTTGTGGCATACCTGTTGCTGAAGCTCTCTGACTTGCGTCTGCTGAAGGAGACCACTGTTGTCGGCCACGAAGTTATTTCTGCAATGCTTCTCTTTCTCATCATTTAGAGCATTATGAAATTGGCTGCACACATACGGAAAACAAAATACATACAAATTCTCTGTCTGACAGATGAACTCAGAGACCTAGGCATATACAACAGAGGATAGTAAAACTGACCTTAGAGGGACGAAATATAGGAATAGTTGGCATCCCTGCTATAGATATAAAACCTTTTCTGAGCTGGAAGAAATAATGATTCACCAGCCGGTTTATGGTGGTGTTTCATACCTTCTGGGAAGAATATAAATTAAAAGTATTTGAAAATAAAGTGCTAACCACCTACGAGTGATCAAGTAAGTGTGTAATTTAAGATATTATATAATATCCTGAACTGGAAATCATTTAAACCAATATAATGCAGAACATTGAAACTTTTACATGTACCATTGCAAATATAGTGAAATTTAGGAGACTGTTATGGGAAAAACAATCGATGCACACAATATTCGATGGGGAAACCTCTTTGAAGATGGCCTCTTGCAAAATCAAGAGGTAGATGGAAGGGCAGGATTAAAATGGTAGCAGCGAGGTAGATATTTAGATCATAGGGAAAAACACTGGATGGATAAGTGGGATTAAACTGGCTCAGACTCTATCTACTGGCTGTTTCTGATATTATCAGTGTTGAACCTTTTGATTCTAGTTCCATAAACATAGGTATTTAGGGTTAGTTTACTTGACAGATGTAGGATCCTATTTGAGTAATCCTTGAAGTATGTAGCAAATAAGAAATGCATATAATATTTTAATCTGTATATCCAAACATGCAGATCATTCTTGGGAGATGTAAGTGTTAGTAGGATTCAAATTTTAAAATAAACTTACAGAGGAATGGCATGAAGATGTAAACTTAAATAAATTATTTCAGAATTAAATGAAATTATGGCTTTTATGAATACAGTGGCGATACTTTTCAATGCACGATAACACATATTTTTTTGATCTCAAGATTTGTGACTTTTCAACAAAATCTGTGCAATGGAATTAGGTTTGGAAGAAGATAATTAAAGTTTGGATAATGTTATATAGAAGGAGAGCAGGATAAAAGAGGAAATGTATTAAATGCAAAACAAACCTCAATTCAGATTTTTCGTTTTCCTCCTTCAGTTCTGTCACTTCTTCCTCTCCCTTGAGGTGATTTGAATTTTTTTCATTTGTTAGTTGTCCTTCTGGTACTTCAGGGGTTCGGCCATTTTTAAAACGTGAATGCCACCCAAAAGTTTGTGCACGACCCATTGCGGACTCCCCAAATGCTTGCTTTAGGATTTCATAGGTTTCCGTAGCCGTTTTGGCGAGTCTTTGGCAAAATTTGATTTGTTCATGAAAATCCGCCATTCCGAAATCGCAGGAGGGTCGGTGTAATGCACTACCAAAACGCCCGTAACTAAGAAACAAATGCTAATTCGATGATGCCGGCTGGCACACTGATTCACTATGAATGTAGGCCTATCCCCTAGCGGCAGAAGCTCGTACTACATCCGGTTCGCCCTCTATTGACACAGTCTGGAACATTTCCGATCGCACCTCGTATAATATTTATTCTCTGGAAAATGCCATGGAGAAATATCATGAAAGCTTTGGCTTACCCTTAATTGTGCTGACACCAGGATTCTAGTCGACTTCATCTTTTTTCTTGTTGTATTGTGTGTGGGAGAAGGCAACTATTTCAAGGTTGTCTACTTCTAAATCTGTTCCACCTAATTTCATTATCTGGTCATGCAGTTCAACAAGGCTTGTATGCAATTTTATGATTCTATCCTGAAATAAAACCATGCACAATGCTTTATTTTAGCACCATTTTGCATTTAAATTCTTTGCTGTGTTACATACCCCTGCTGGTTTTGGTGGTCATTTGCAGCAGTTACCAGCACTCTGTTGGAAAGATAAATGTACTACATGTGATCCTGCAGAGACTAGTTTTTTCATTCCATTAAGTAGTCACAAACAACATAAAAAATGTTTGAAATAAAAGTTGTAGATGTCGATGAGACATTAATATAATTCACTAGTTTTCTGTGTGATTTGCTATTTTATTGGAAATGGGTAATATCTGATTTAAGAGTGATTTAAAATAAAACTTTATGCTATTTTAAAGGGTTCTGACGATGGTCAGTTACACTCAGGATTATTAATTTCTTGGTCTTTGTCCATTGCTTGGTATTCAAAAGAACAGAAACAGAAACTTCTAGTGCATTGTGTCACCCCCTACCCCCAAATACTATGTTTCATAAACATGAAACTTGTAGATGGAATATGGACACAGTGATTACCCGCAGGTCTGTCGTTTCATGCTCTTCATACAAGGAATGCATAATATAAATTATAAGCATTGACTTGGAGTTCCTCACCTGTCGATTAATAAAATTGGGTTTCATTGAGTCATATCGTTTCTTTAGTCTAAGGAACTCTGCTCGCATGTGATTCAGCTCATTCTCATCCAACCTCATGGAATGTTGTGTTCTTATTTTTGATGTTGAAGGAGAAGAATCAGTCCTGATTTTTTGTGTGTATGATGTTTTACTTCCCAGCCTTCCAGTTCTTTCCTGAAAGAAACAGGATTATAGGTTAGGGAGAACCACATTCCCTGTTATCCAAAGGGACCAGTGATTTTTTCTCTAATTCCATGTCAATTCCTTTTAACACCATTTCTAGATAAGTAAACATGAATCCACATGACCAACATAAGTTCATACCGCATATGTATGTACAACTTGTTTACTGAGAAATGCATTTATTTTATTTCAGTTTCTTTCTGGGAGTCTTCTGATTTGTGACAACTATTTTTTCCAGATAACTTGATGGAACTATAGCGTGAGCAGAAAATAATAACTAATCCAGTAGACTGTTCAATATTATGTCTTTGTCATTCATAATGTCACTGTTCTTTCCTTGGAAAAGGACACTTATCCTCTAAGGACATCTTCTGTTCATTGCAGTTTCCACCAGAGATGGATTTAATGGTATTTTGATTCAATGCTGATTGCACTAAAGTGTAATATGACAGTCAACATAAATTTCTGCCTAGTTCTGACGTTACTAAATGATACTGAATCAGGTGCGTATATTTAGAGGTAAGGAAACGAATGTGCTACAAATAATTAACATGCAATTACAATTTGGAAATATTTGACACTGTCTCAACCGCTGTTTAGCATCCTGTGGGCCTAAATCTACATTTTGCATTTCTTTTCAAATTCAAGAAAATATACAGGAAAATGCAATGAGCTTTGATAGTCTTAACCAGACTATGCAATACAAACACAGTTTCCGCATTTATTCTAGGACTAAAGGGATAGTACCCAGAGAGTACATTAAAAATTCTTTGTAATCGAAAGACTGTAGAAATATAATGTGTAAAGGAACAAGTTTGGACCGGACGCTAGTTATCAAAGTCTCAACTCTCTTCAATTTATCCCCCACCCCAAACATATTTGATTGTTACTGAATGATATTATTAATGGTGTTTGTTTATATGACTGGAAGCCTCTCCCTCATCGCTGGTTACACAATTTAGCATCCTGTGGGCCTAAATCTGCAATTTTCATTTGTTTTCAAATTCAAGAGAAAATCCTGGACAAAGCAATGAATGTATGCTGATGGTAGTTAAGACAGTTTTGTAGGTCTTAATTCAGTTCTAAAGGGTTCTGACAAAGGTAGATTGCATTTAAAGTTATTCATTATCAGGACTTTTTCAATCATATTTTCTTTAAAAACCACGTTTGTAGGTCTTTGCCAGAATATGCAATACAAAACACAGCTTACAACAAAAATCAGTTACGTGATCGTATCGTTACAACCAGGACTCATTAAATATGACACATAAATGCTCTGATACCAAAAAGACAATTTACAAGAAAATATTCAAGTTCGCTCAGCTCTGAATTAGTCCGTGGAACAAGAGGAATAAGTACAGACACATTTTAATTTAAGCAATATGAAGTAACATAAAATGATGGAAATGTAATACAAGGAGCTTCACAGCATGAACTTGTGTTAATTTGATTTGAATTGGAAGTAAATTTCCTCCATAACTTTTGGGGTAGACTCCTATGCCTAAATTTAATAAAGGATCATTTAGCAGATATTACTGTCCCATTATGCATTAATTTTATGTGCTCTGGGAAAAGAAACGGTAAGATGATACAGTTTGTACTGAAATACAGAGTTCATCTTAACCACCTCAGCATTATGCTTGTACGCGTGTGTATGTACATAATGTATTGTAAGTTACGTGTTGAGATACGTTTCGATTAAATGAGTAAACTGTGTGAAGTGACTGCTCTGGTGACAGGGTCCCCAAATGAATACTTGGGCTAAAGACTCTGTTCAGGATATGCAAGCAAAGAAAATGTGATTAAATCAAGAAGGGTGAGATCGCAGCAAAATGCATGATTGGGGATAAACTGAAGGAACTTCGGAGAACTTTGAACAAGTGGGAAAGTAATATTGAAATGGCTCTTCAATGAATGGGGTGTGATGATGTGGAGTGGATTTATCCCGCTCAGTATAAGGTCCAGTGGTATGCTTTTGTGAACATGGTAATGAATTATCATCCTTTCAAACAGGAATCTACTCCAGGAAGTAAATTAAGTAAAGAAAGTTACCCTGGACGTTCCTCCAACTTCACCGTGGATTTTGCATGGCCTCGCATCAAACCTGGAAGTCTTCTGTTTATTATATGGGACTTGACGCTTTCCTTTGTTGTCCTTTGCCTCATACCTCGGAGAGGACGCAGAGACTAAAAAAGAATCCAAAATGCATTACAGATTACATTGTTTTAAAAATCAAATTGCACACACACGTACAGACTTTGTGGCAGATTTGTGCTCAGCGTTTTTATTCTTCAGTCAATGCTACAACATGATCAGTGAAGACGATGCTATTTTAATCGGTCTTGTTGTTACTTTAATGTTGAAAAATAAAAGAAAGTTGAAACGTTCTAAGTGGATCAGAAGTTGATTAGATGGATCAAAACATTCTCACATTAATTTGTTGAATGAAATTCGATTAGAGTCGACGGACTGGCATAACTACCTGCAAATGGGTGAGGACACATATTTAGAACTGTTAAACTTAGTTTCTCCAGTTATCGGGAAGGAAGATACCGTATAGAGAACAGGAATTTCTCCGCATGAACGGTTGTGCGCTATCCAAAGGTTTCTGGCCACTGGAAGATACTACGAGGATTTGAAGTTTTTGGTGGCTGGTTGAGATGTCTAAATGCTACAAGCCTTGTCTTTAACCTCGTCTCTGCCCACACACGTTACGACTTGTAAACATCCAGTAAACCTCGAGGCAAAAAATTAAGCGACTGCAGATTTATCGGAGGCTCGGTTTCCGGCCAAATTCAACACACGCTCCGGTTTGCAGGAAGGTTGGCCTTCACAGACGCAAGCCTTCCGATAAGCCGTAGCGTGTGTGGCCACCCTAAGATTCATCCTTCGTTTAGTTATAAGTTTTTTGAAGCTGCAGGTGTTATGAAAGGGCTTGCGTAAAGTATGAAATTCCTCATTGACACATTTGCGACAGAAAACAGATTTAGTACTACAATGAAACGCGGTAATATTTGATCTGTGTATGCATTAGTGTACTTACTCTTGCCTTGCGGAAATCTAGGAGCTTTAGACTTATACATCCTTCCTCACACCGCTCCTTCTACACTCTGTTTACCAACTGTTTCTCAACAATGAATAACTTACTAAAACGCTGTTTACCAGCTGTTGCTAGGCAACATAATACTCGGGTAATGCTGTTGTTTATTATTACGTCACACAACCTCTCTCCCCTGCCAAACCGTAAACACTCGTAATTTATAAATAACTGCAGTATGTCTGTCGAGAGGAATGACATGGGCGGGCATGTAGCGCGCATGGATAGGACAAGAGATGTGCACCGGGTATTGGGAAAGAGACCGCTGGGGAGACCTAGACGTAGATGGGAGGATAATGTCAGGCGGGATCTATGGGAGATAGGAGTTGATGGAGACCGGATTTTGTTGGCCAAGGACAGGGTCAGGTGGAGGGCTTTGGTTAATTCGGTGATGAACCTTCGGGTTCGGTAAGCCATCTAGTTAGTTAGTTTAGTATGTATATGTGGGAAGAACCAACAAACTGCAAACCGGTTACGCGTGCACCACAGTGGATTAAAGTTAAATTAAAATTTCAAAGATAATCAAAAGGTGCAATGTTTGCCTTCGTGTGTGTATCTTGCATTCCTGAGCTCTTACGATACGTATCGTATAAGTTAACAGCCATTTGAAAAGCATTAAAACCATGTACTAAACATCGAATGGTCTATACCAGTGGTATTCAACCTGGGGTACGCGTACCCCAGGGGGTACGCGAAGACATCTTAAGGGGTTCGTGAAATTTAAAAAATATATTATTTTATGATAAACACTGTATAATCAGTAATGTAATTTATTTAATTTATTTTAGATGTAGATTATATACTATGTATAACTTGAATTATACACCAACTACTTTGGGGGAACAAAGTTGAAGAGAAATTATATCTGGGGGTACGCGAACAAAAAAGTTTGAATACCACTGGTCTATACAATACGTTTTATTATAATGTATTTATGCGTTATGCGAGAAAACATTCTACGCGGCGTTACATCTAAACCAACGTTTTTGTACTCCCTAGATTAGTTTTATTAACCAAGAACAGTTCAGTATAATTATCATATAATACTTTTCTGATAATTATTATAATAAATACATTTTTTAAAAGTTTATTTATTTAAATCTTACAATTATGTTCACTAAACGTTTGGCATTTCATTTTATAAGGAACTTTATCTATTGGCGACTTTAAGAAATTTTTAATGAATTGTTACGTTCTTTATAGCGAATGTTCGTAAACCGAGAGTTTCCTGTATATATTCGGAGTCCGTTCGGAGCGAGAATCAAAGAATTTGGAAAAAATTGTAGGCATCAGTTATAGCGCGGTTGTCCTATAACGGGGGTCAAAACCCGACCCCCCCCCCAAACCCCGCGGTATAACCGGGGATCGGTATATGCTATATTTTTATTTCTACTTTATTACTTGTGTAGGTATTATTTTGGTTTGATGTTCAGGGACTTTTAAATACTTGAGTGGACACTACAAGATTCTCTCGTGCAACATGTAATAACAAACATCTTTTGACCAGTATAATTCTAGTTGAGGGGTTAAGTTATCATAGAGAACATAACTGTACTGATCAGTAGAACTCTTACTTTAAGGACATGAGTATAGGTTGGTGAGGGTTCTAATACTGGTGCCAAAGAATGTGAAACTGGACCATATTTTACTATTTGTGGTGGGTTGGGCTACATTTAGATGTTGTAATTAGGTTATAGGAATTTTTTATGTATCTGGAGTTATAACCGTTATTGAATTACACTAGTATTAGAACACTCACCAAAATATTCAAAAACACGAATGTCAAAGTAGCCTACAAAGTCAATAACGCCATAAAATTCCGATGAAATTAAAAAAACAAGATAATATACAATAAAAGTGGTATATATATATATATATATATATATATATATATATATATATAAGTTAAAATGCGGTAGCTGCGAACAGGTTTGTATTGGTCAATTGGGAATTTAAAACCAAATTTAAAGAGCATGCCCACGACATTAGATTCAACGTAACAAAATTAAAATACGCCCAACATATTCTCGACCACTGACATTGATACGGTCCCATGGAAGATATGTTAAGAATAGCCTCGAAAGGTAAAATGCTTGACATTTTAGAAAAATTCCATATCTATAAAACCAGCAAAAAGCAGAACATCATAAATGAACAGAAAGCCCATGACTCCAAGTTGTTATTTGACCTGGCAATAAACAGAAGAAAAGTAAAATTTCTTATGCAATAGTTGGCCACACTGATATCAGAGTTAATATATACCCTGCACATTTTTAAAACTGACAGTAACGCCCACGCATCGTTGAAGTTCACAGGCACAGACGACGCAACCACGGCAATTAGGCCTGTGGACATAAAAGCTAAGTACACCAACTCCTGTGCCATCAACGTCCAGTGAGCTATTACATAAGTATGGTCTTGTAAATTACATACCTTTTATGCTCTGTAAAAGACCATAGTCTTTTTTGTATTATATGAATTAATTTGTTTTGCCACTGATGATGACCTCTTGAGGTCGAAACGCTTTTAGCTTTAGTGTCCTTCAAAGTGTAAACAGTTTTGTACGTATGCATGATTTATATTCCAATACACTAAACGGTATGCAAGGTTTTAAATCGTAGATTTCGTAGACTTTTCCCGTCTTCATGTTCCACTCGGTTCCTACGGTGATCCAAAGTTAGTACCAATAACCTCGTCGATTCTTTGCCATTACGGTTCTCATCCTTAACCACCAGAAGGCAGAATAAGAGATCTTTCTCGATGCCCTTCTCGTCGACACTTTCGATTTCCTGATTAAATGGATGTTTGTATGTCCTTCCGTCTACTTCGGAGTCGCGTCTAACTAAGCATTCTTCGTTGAAATCAATGAAGAATTTGTAAAAATGTAAGAAGTCGGCACCAAGAAGTGTCTGATTAGCTAATTGCGATGATATTGAGAAAACATGGTCGTATGATCAAAGCTTGCACTTTAATCCTGGTTGATTTGTTTTTGAAAGCACTGGTCAATATCAAACAAGTCGTAGGTAGCTCTTCGGTTAGATGTCCCTCTCCTGTTAAGTTCCGATAGAACTGTTCGGACATTAACGAAACCTGTGACCCTGAGCCAAGTAGAGCAGACGATAACGTTACCACAGTATAAGCTGAGAAGAGGGCATCTTCGTAAATTTTCACTACTAATCTGATAAGTGCAGGTGACGTCACTTCTGTGACAAAATTATGGCATTTCTTCTCCATCTTCTTTAAAAGACGTTTGATCAGTATTTTTAAATTTGGTAGATTGTTCGACTTTGCCAATGACATCACTTCGGCCTCTGTAACGTCACTTATTGGTTTTCCCAACGCTCAGCGTTCGAACGCACGTCGTTATGGTTTGCCTGCCTCGGAACGTACGATGAAGCCTGTCGATTCATGAGAGGTCTTTGGTTTGATCCTGGGTTGTTTCTAACTTCTCCATACGTAGTGCTTAGACCTTGTGAGTTAAAATCACGCAACGATTCCCGATAATGTTGTCGGCGAGGTTACCGTCTACGTCTGTAATCGCGTTCGTTGCAATGTACCTGTTATACACGCGGCGGACTCCTCCGTCTATTGTCCTGACCGTGGTTTCTGTTGAAACGAGGTCCTGGATTCGATGCTGCTGAAGAGTAGTTTGACGACGATTAGCTGTGATTTAATGTCTCCACCTCGTTTAGAAATGTGATCGCGTCTGGCATGCTTCTCGGTTGCCCAACTACCCATGATCTTTGCAGCTGAATCGGGAAGTGATGTCGAATTGCTTCTAAGATTTCAGTCTCGGTCATAGTATGATCTAAATCAGTGATATTTAACCATTTTTTGTTCGCGTACTCCCAGATATAATTTTTCTTCAACTTTGTACCCCCAAAGTTGTTGGTGTATAATTAAAGTTATACATAGTATATAATCTATATCTAAAATAAATTAAATAAATTACATTACTGATTATTTAGTGTTTATCATAAAATAATATATATTTTTTTAAATTTCACGTACCCCCCAAGATGTCTTCGCGTACCCCAGGTTGAATACCACTGATCTAAATATTTAGCCTTGACGATATATTTCATCAAATGGTCGGCGTAGCTCATTCGATTTTCCTTGTGGTACCGGTCTTCATAAATAGAAACACGGACCTTAGATTGGCATGTCACGTTCCAATATTGTAACAAAAGGGCGTCTTTGAATTCTACAAATTTCCATATGTTCCGAGACATACCAGAAGCCCACGTACTGACAAAAAGCCCTTTCAAAGATTTAACCAAGATAAATAATTGCAAATTAGTGGGAATGTTCTTTAATTTCATATAGTCAGTGAAGGATTCTAAATGGACCTTCGCATTCTGTCCCGGAAAATTTTCAAAAGTCGGCTACGCTAAATCGACAGAAAAGATATTAAAATTTTTACAACAGGCGCAGGACCGATCCACAGTTGGTAAGGCACTTGCATTATCGCCATCCTGACCATTCAGAGATACGTCATTAGCATGGTCACATGTTAAATCAACAGACCTGAATGGGTTTGTGAGAGAGTTGTCATCAGAGTGAGTAGGATTTATATGACGGCTCAGTCTCTCATTGTTTCTGTACTGCAACACTTCCATGCGCCCTTCAAGTTGATCCACTTTACATTTCAACTGTTCGACTTCATTGCTACTGTCTATGTTTGATAAACGTTTTTCTACACGAAGCTTTGCTTTCTTTACAATTTTCTATGGCGTTATTAATAAAGCATATTTCATTTTGTGTGGAGATTTGATTGCTTTGGAACAGTTCCTGTCTCTCCGCGACCTGGCATTGGAAATCGGCGACGTCATTACGTATGATATTTAAATTAGACTCACAGTGCTCCTGATTTGATTGAACAGTCTCAGTCGGGGTTCGAACCTGACTGTCGGGCCTTTGTGACAAGAATGATACGATTACTTAGGGATTGATACAAACCGTGAATAACGGGTTCCTCCACTCTCCTGATATGTAAATCGTGGCGTCTGCTTCACTCTGTAGCATCGTAGAGCGTCGGACATTCAAACCTTATTGTAAAGTGTAAGGTTTCAAGTTGTCAGATACAAGCTGATGCAGGAGAGATCTTAAAATAATAGATAACTCTACCAAGAGGAGATTCTTGGCCTTTGGGTCCAGTGTGAAAATTAATTTTGGCTCAAGGGAAGAAAACAGTTGGACCAATATGTTTTATAGCAATACATGTGGCATTTAGTGGAAGGTACTAGAATTTTAATATCAAGAAAGTGAATAAAATTCTTATATTATTAAAGTAATTTCTTCTCTCAAAGGGTTTTGACGACGGTAGTTTACACTTAAAATTATTCATTTTCAGAACTTTTTCCATTGTCTGATCTTTAAAATCACGACGTTTCGGAGGCTGGTTCTGTCTCCGTCTTCAGGTGAGAGGTACCTACTCTGTTGGGTCCCTTACTTAGAGCTAGTCTCTGTTGTGGTTTTAAAGAACATTTTATGGACCGTAAAGTTTCATTACCGTGTTCATAAAAGCCCACCTCTGGTACCTATCCTGAGCCAGACAATTCCAGTCCATACCAATCCATCCTATATCTCTATGATCCATTTTAATATTGTCGTCCTAGTGGTTTCTTTCCTTTTGGGTTCCCCACCAAAAAATCTGTTTGAATTCCTCTTCTCTCCCATGCGGGCTTCTGTCTTCGCGTGCAGCAGTAGATGTCGTCGGATTTGTTAAAAATGCCAACACTTCAGCTGGAAACCCGAGAGGAAGCTACCCACTTGCTAGAGCAAGGCATAGACTGATGAATGATTTCAATAAAGATGTCGATAAAAAGAGCGAGAGAGTGCTGATTGGATTAATTTGGCTTGGGATGGCGTCCAGTTGTGGTCTCCTTTAAACACGATAATTAGCCTAAGGGTTCCATTAAATTCGGAGGAATTATTTACCAGCTGAGCAACTATAATCTTTTCAAGAAAAATGTTCCATTCAATTAGTTACACAATTGCACTTGCCTTTTATTTAAAAATAGCTTTAAACTGAGAACCGGTGGAATGCACGAGATTTATAAGAAAGTAATCGATTTCAACGTGCGACAAAGAAACAATGTCAAGAACTAAACACACTTTTAAAAACGGCACCATTACAACTGTTACGGCACGCAGGTCGCAGTGAGTTCCTTGCTGCTATAGCGAGATTAGTAGACACGGTGGTCTAGCGGTTAGAACGCTGGCCTTGTAATCCTGGGGTCTCGGGTTCGATTCCCGGCGGTGCCCGAATTTATAACTTGTGCTGGGCAAGGCCGTGGTCTAGGCAACACGGAGTTTTCCTCCGGGGCTTCCCCGGTTTCTCCGTGGCATCCCAACAATTACTCCATTCACACACAGAAGAAGGCAATGGCAAACCACTTCTGGATCATCTGCCAAGAACGTATATGAAGAGGTCCCAGTCCGAGAAAAGGATGGAAGGATCCTGTTCATATGGACCTGTCGTCAGACAGAACACTAAATAATAAATACAGCGAGATTGCTTGTATCACATCTGAGATAGTGGTCACAAATCGTATGTATACAATACTGGCGTCCAGTGTATGACCCATGAGTCGAATGTTACACACGAAGTTCAGTGTGCTTCGTGGCGTTCAGATACAAGGCCAGTGTTCACTTAATTATTACACAATATATCATAATCGTAAGCAAACCGAGACAATTTAGGAAGTGCAAAATTTCGTATTCTATATCCTACTCGTATTTGGTCTTACGAATGTATTTTCGGCCGGGGCGTGACGCTAACCAACCACCCCTATCTAGAGCCGAGGTTAAGAATGAGTTGGAGCTGATAACTGTTTATTAGTTTTTGAAGTAGAGTTTTTCTCGTGAGGTCCAGTGGCCTGTTTTCGCTTCAAAATTTCCCCATTCGGCTTCCGAGTAAACATAACTGGACCGAAGGAATCCTTGTTCCTGAAAACATGGATGTTAGACGAACACAAACGTTACACCTGTTGATTATCTTTCAAATTTTAATTTGACTTTAATCCACTGTGGCGCTCGCTTAACCGGTTCCACAGATATACTGCAGTTTTTCGAATTGCGCTTGTATACGATTTGGCAGGGGAGGGAGGTTATGTAATATTCAACAGAATATCCCGAATATCACTGTTACAAAATCTTCCGTTGACTAGCAGCAGTTGATAAACAATGTGTTAGTAACTTTTTCATTGTTGAGAAACAGTACGTAAACAGAGTGTGAAAAGCGGTGTGAGGAAGAATGTGGTACTATGAGTGCGAAGTTCCTAGACTTCAGGCAGAAAGTAAGTACATTAATAAATATGTGTTCATTCTTAATCAAATATTACCGTGTTTCATTAGAGTACTATATCTGTTCACTGGTACGGCGCGTATCGGGGCTGCAGTCCCCGCAGCCGGCTTATACGAGGTGCGATCAGAAAGTTTCAAGACTGTGTCAATAGAGGGCGAACCGGATGTAGTACGAGCTTCTGCCTTTAGGGGGTGCGGCCTACATTCATAGTGAATCAGTGTGCCAGCCGGCATCATCGAATTAGCATTTGTTTCTTAGTTACGGGCGTTTTGGTAGTGCATTACACCGACCCTCCTGCGATTTCGGAATGGCGGATTTTCATGAACAAATCAAATTTTGCCAA